TTGCTCTTATGACAGAATAGTTAAGCTGCTCCCTTAGATAAATTATCAGAATACTGCTGATACAGAGCACATTTTAGAGAGCATCACAAGGCTATAAATATGCATGGGGTGACCTTATTTGTATTGTTCCTTCTTAGGGCTCTGTTCGTTAGTCTAACAAAGAAAGGAAGAACATCCAACAAGGGAGGAAGGATTGCCTTTTGGTTAAAGAGAGGACTGGGAATCAGGAAACTTGCAATCTATTCCTGGTTCTGCCATGGACTTCCTCTGTGACTCTGGACAAGTCACTTAACAGTAAACTTTTTGCATTTGCGGGACTACATCTAGGAAAAGGCGGCCTGATTTTCAGAAGTTATAAGAATTAAATAGCTAACTTTAGGTATCCAAATATAAAAGGATTGTCCACTGGACCTTGGTTTTCTCCTCTGTAAAACAGGGATACAATATTTATCACAGGGTTGAAGTTTAGATTTGTTCATATTAGTAAGGTGCTTTATGAGCTTCAAGTGCAAGACACTATAGCCTGAAAACGGTATTATAACATGATGTTCAGAGCCAAGATTTAAACCAATTGCAAAATGAAGATAAGCCATCTGCTCCCATGGGTGTTTGATAGTATGTGAGTACTCAGGCCAGAAAAAAAATCTAACTCCTGACCTTTGAATAAAACTTATTTATATAATAAAATATATTGCCCTTTATAATTCCAAAGCAAAGTACAAACATGACTAATTCATCTCTAGGGTCACATTTCATTTTTAGAACTAAAAGCATATTCAAACTCTATAGTAAACATTCCTGAACTGCAAAGTGCCTTCAACCCACTTTGAATTTCAGGGGAGCTAAGATGGGCAGCACGGAACTCACACTCCAAGAGGAGGGCAGAGACCAACATAGCTTCAACCACTTTGTATCCTCCAGATCCTTGCTGTTCCAGGGTCTGGAGAGGCCCCTAAAGAAATTTAGGCAGCCCCAGTCTAAGCCTTCCCTCAATGGGCCACAGTACTGCTCAGAATCTACATGGTGCTGTGGGCCACATCCCCACTACCAAGACACCTTCTACCAGGTTTGGGATGGGGTCTTCGGGAAGCAGCCTTATGGCTGTCCTCCATGATTCCTACACCTGGAGAATCTTCCCCCAGTCAGATACAGGGCTTTTAGGGCCCTGTTAGACCATTTTAGCATAAAGCAGGAGTGAGGATCTCCAACCAGGGGAGGTTACACCCTATGAAATTAAATTGTTTAAATTGAATATAAGCAGATTATCCTCTGTGAGGAGAGCCAAGGCCAGACATAAAAGAGTCTATTTTAGCAGATGAGGTTGAAATGCACAAAATAGGTTTCTTAGGTTTGTTTTTAAATGTAGACAATTTCTCATTATGCATTTTATAACATGAAAGTATGTTTAGGTATTCTGTATTTGCCATGCTAACAACCAATGAGTCGGACATTAAATTTAAGAACCGTGTTATGTCCTCTTTAAATCTCTTGAGCTCATGGTAACGTTTTACCATCCATAAGGAGCTTTGCAAAAAGCCACAAATATGATGGAAAAAGTGTGGCTGCAGCAGGAGGTTTAAACAAAAGCTGATCAGCCTTTTGTATTTTACTTCATTACCATGGGGAGTGGGGGGAGAAATCAATATCTTCCCATACCTCCCTACTTGGAAGAATTCCCTAGAAACATGGAGAGAATTAAAATGCAGTAAAATTTCAGAGAGAAAGACTGATGGAAAATAGTTCCCATCAATTGGGAGTTTTTAAAAGCTAAGCTGAGACATTACAGCAGTGTATCAAGCATATTTAAGGAATATACACCAAAACAAGCTGTATTGAACTGGCCATGACTATCACTCTGAAAATGGCATCTGCATGAAACGTTTTTCTCTATTCCCTTAAAAGAATAGTGTTTCATATTAAACCTAATGATAGTTCTGGAAACCATTTAAACAATGCTAACTGAAAGAGGGATCATTTAAATTTACTTTTAAATGTTTTCTCTCATAAAACTCATATTGGTCACTATGTGTTCTTAACTTAGAGAGATGGAAAATAGGTTTCTATAACAGTGGTTTCGTTTTTCTCTTTTAGTTTTTTGTTGTTGTTTTTTGGGGGGGGGGAGAGGAGATAAATTATACACTAAGTACTGTATATATCAAACCAGATGTCAATTAGAGAAGATCGGTCTGACAGTATGCTAGAAAACCACTAGTGAGGTGACTCAATACACCAGGGACTTCCCAAACCAAACTGTGATTTCCCACAAAATCATAGTGGAGCGAAAAACAGAGTAAACAATTTAAACAGGACAGGAACACAATTTAAGGGCCTGTCCTGAATTCTTGCACATTCAACATAATTAGTGACTTTAATAGCAGTCAAGGATGCACAAAGATTGGACGTGGTATTCTCTTAAGGATAGAGGATATCAGTACTAAATCGACCATTGTGGAAACAAAATACATTTTAACAAGCGGTCTTACAGACTCCTGGTAGGGTGTTGGGTTATAAAGAGTTCAACTCTTTATAAAATTTATATTTTTGTTAAATGCCTCACAACACAATACAGTGCCACATTTCCTCTTGATTAACACAATTCTCTCCCTCACACACACACACGAATACAAAGCCAGAATCCTGAGACAGGCATGCAAACTCGGCTATCAACTAGTTGTAACAGCCTATTTCTTATTAGTTAACCAAGTGTTATTCTGAAACCTGACTCAGTCCTCATTTAAATACTATTCTATGTTATTCCTTTTACAAGCCCACATCAATTGTTTCACAACTCTGTTTAAATCCCACCCATTAAAGCCATTTTATTGTGGTTTTCAAATTGGGAGGACTGTTTTGCACCATCCTTGGACCTTATTGTGCACTCAACCCACACGCATGAGTAAGTAGTACGAGCTGTTTGCCCTCCTCCCCTGCCCGCCCAGTATTTTTCCTTCCCCAATACCAACCCCCTTCTTTCACGTTCTTCTTTCATTTTATGTATGTCTTTTGTGTTACTTTAGCATCCTTTGAAACACTCGCCACTCTTTTGGTCTTGTTATGATTATGACAGACTGCAATCCATTCTCCCTCCTCCATCATACTCTCCCTCTCCTTTTTCTTACCAGAACAAACCTTAATAACAACGTTTAAAGAAACCCAAAAATCAAAACAAAACAAAAAAACCCATACAAGAGATCAGACATTTCTGAAAGTGTAACTGTTTCGGGATTCTTAAACCACCTCTAAATTTCGCTCAGCTACCATTAGAGGAGGACAGAGCACTCACTAAGTGGGTGTGGGTTATACAAGAAATATCTGAACAATCATAATTTCATTTTTACTGAAGTTAGGAATGATCAACTACTTCTATAGTTGGGTTTTCAGCAGTCTAAATAGGGTACCATTCATTATGGTGACTTTCATCACTGTGAGCCACTAATCAGATTGTGATACTATAAAGTAATTGAAACGGCTATATTACTGCTACAAATACACTCTGACATTTTAAAAAAAAAACTTAATTCATGCTCTCTTTCTAAGCAACCAAATTGTATGCCCCAAACACCAAACTGCACACATGGAATAGGAGATTTGCTAATAGCTTTGCATAAATGCAACCCAGACTTACATACAAAGAGCTGAGTATGTATGTGTATGTTTTTTTTAAACCTGGAGCCACAAAACCAAATTAACATCAAAGTTTGGATGTTTTGATCCACAGAGAAACTCATTGAGCCAAACCAGAGCTACTGGACTTCAGATATAGTACTCTGTGTTTATCTTCACTCACATGTGTATGACACCTGCAGCCTTTTATTTTATTTGAAGTGAATTTTGTAATGTGGTATTACATCACTGTGGGTTCAGCTCTGGTGGCTACAGTTTCAAGCTTAGAGTGAAAGTCACTTTTGCTACTTGCTTCAGGTTTAGAGTCTTTAGGAACACATAAAAACCAAGGATAGTGACCACACATACATTTCACAAGTTCAAGGGTTAGTCCGTTTTACAAGTTTTATTAAAGTTACAATTAAAGTGATTACAAACATATAGAAATTCTATACAGACTTATGCACAAGTTACAAATATAGTTATACTCACATCCTCCTAGATAGTGTTAGCTGGGTGACCAGAGAGCAAGGGTGAAAAAATTGGGATGGAAGGTGAGGGAGAGGGGGGGTAATAGGCACCTATATAAGACAAAGCCCCAAATATTGGGACTGTCCCTATAAAATCAGGGCATCTGGTCACCTTAAGCATTAGGGTCTGATGGGGCTCATGCATTGGTCATCAGTAGAGGGATGGTTCCTGCAGGAGGTTCCCCACAGAAAGTTTAATTTTCCTAATCTGGGCACCCTCTTTTTATAATGGTATATGACTATACCTCATTAGCATTTATGCACAGATATACCCTAACTGCAGGGTGCACTGTTAGAAAAATGTGACTACTGGGTATCTTGTAAGCAAAAATTTACTCTGTTAATTTTTTGCAATATCATCCATTGGTACGTCTTTTTCCCCGTAATCTTGTGGCATAGGGTCATTCTTTAGTATTTACTTATGTCAAGCATTTCTTAATTCTATGGCCTAATATGACTAAGCTAAAAATCTTACAGGCCTCAGGCTGTAGGCCTTGCATTTCAACCCTACTTACTTACATACCTAATAAATAATTATCCCTTCTACTACTGATCTTATATTCCATAATCCTACAATTTAACTCTATTTAGCATACAATAGAGATACATCTCTACCCCGATATAATGCGACCCAATATAATATGAATTCGGATAGAACGCGGTAAAGCAGTGCTCCAGGGGGGCGGGGTTGCGCACTCCGGCGGATCAAAGCAAGTTCGATATAACGCGGTTTCACCCATACAGCAGTAAGATTTTTTGGTTCCCAAGGACAACGTTATCTCGGGGTAGAGGTGTATTATATATTTTTTAATGTAAATTATAACATCACACAATAAATCACTGGCTACACATTACATCAGCTCTTACCGCTGAACTGGCAGTGGAAGGGAATCTAAGTAGTCATCACCTTGACAAGCCATGCTTCTCAGTCTGTTAGTGTACTTCTTCATAAGCCAGAAAATCTAAAATAAAATAAATAAATCAAAACAGGAGAAAGTCAGACTGATATGGTACAATCAAGTGTCAAACCACTCTTTTGGCATACAGTAATAATATGTAGCAAAATAATCCATTAAGAACAACTCAAAGGGCCGGATTCTCCTCTACACTAAGAATGCTTTGCATCGCTCTGGCAGAGAGTCAGGCCAGAAAGTACATAACATTGTAGAACACATAGGATTACTGTGCTCATGAGATTCTTGTATTATTGCACAGCACAAAGAGTCACTTGTAAGGAACATTATACTAGTATGGGGGCTGTGAAGTGACACAGGGACATTACCCAGCCGCCCCCTTCTCCCTCACAGAAATTACATCCCAGGATCTCCCAGAGGCAGCAGACTCAGATTACAATGCATCAGGCTATTGTGTGAAGGATCAGCTCAGGCAGTATGTTAACACTGTTTTAGCAGCATACATAGATATGTACATTTTTATGCATTAAAGGAGTGGGCAGGATAGGCCCCTGATGTCTAATGATAAGTGTTAACATAAGAATGGCCATACTGGATGAGAACAATGGTCCACCTAGCCCAATATCCCATCTTTTGACAGTGACCAGTGCCAGCTGCTTCCACAACAACCTTGCCTACCTTGAGTGCTCCTTTAGCACATTAAATCATCCAGTGGCCCCACAAATTGATTGGCTAGATTCCTGCTTCTGATGTACTTAAACAATTTGTTGCTGTTAGTTTGTGTCTTTTGGTAGTTGCTGCTCATATTCTCTTTGGCCTGCCGATTTGTACTTTTACACTTCATTTGCCAGAGTTTATGCTCCTTTCTAATTTCCTCAATAGAATGTGTCTTCCAATTTTTAAAGAATGCCTGTTTGCCTCTAACTGCCTTCTTTACTCTGATGTTCAGCCATGGTGGCATGTTTTTGGTCTGCTTTTTTATTTGGGATATACATTCAAATTTGAGCCTCTATTATGGTGTTTTTGAAAACTTTTCATGCCGTTTGCAGGCATTTCACTCATGACTGTTCCTTTTAATTTCCATTTAACTAGATTTAACTAGCTTCTTCATTTTTGTATCGTTCCCTTTTTGAAGTTAAATGCTATTGTGATTAGCTTCTTTAGTATTCCTTCCCTCCCTGCCACATTCACCACTTTGATGATATCCTGTATGCCACTTGTGGGTTCGAGGTCTAGCTGCTCCAAGAAGCAGTCATTTATGTGGTTGAGAACTTTTAGCTCTGCATCACGTCCTAAGGTGACATGTACCCAGTAGATATGGAGATACTTGAAATTCATCATTATTGAGTTCTATTTTTATAGTCTCTCTAGGCTCCCTCAGCATTTCATAATCACCATTCTGGTCAAGTGGTCGGTAGTATATCCGTACTGCTATACTCTTATTATTCAAGCATGGAATTTCTACCCATAGAATCTCTATGGTATAGTTTGAGTCATTTAAGATTTTTGCTATATTCAACGTAATGCTTTCACATATAGTGCCACTCCCCCACCAGCATGAACTACTCTATTATATTTTGTACCCTGGTATTACCATGTCCCATTGATCATCATCATTCCATCAAGTTTCTGTGATGCCTATTAGATCAGTATCCTTATTTAATACCAGTTATTCAAGTTCACCCATCTTACTATTTAGACTTCTTGCATTAGTTGTCTGCCTTCATGTGATGACTGGGACTCTTCATTTGACTGTTTCTCTTCAGCCCCTACCTGTACTTTATAAACTTCTATCCCTTCCTCTTTAATAGGATATAGAGAATCCCCATTAATAGGCCCTCCCCTAAGGGATGTCTCTATCCAAACTACATGCTCCTCAGCACCTGCCAGCTTTCCCCCAGCCCTTAGTTTAAAAAACTCCTCTCTGAGCTTTTTGATTCTAAATACCATCAATCTGCTTCCATTTTGGTTTAAGTGGAGCCCATCTATCCTGTATAGGCTCCTCCTTCCTCAAAAGTTTCCCAGTTCCTAATAAACCTAAATCCTTCCTCCAAACATCATCATCTCATCCACACATTGAGACTCTGTGGCTCTGCCTATCTTAAATGTGGAACTGGAAGCACTTCAGAGAATGTACCATGGGAGTCCTGAACTTTAATCTCTTACCTAGCAGCCTAAATTTGGACTCTAGGCCGTCTTTCCCTATTTCATGGGTACCTAGGTGTACCATGATCACCAGCTTCTCCCCAGCTACTTTCTCTCTAAAGTTCACGCCTGGGCGACCGCACAAGAGGAATATAGGGCCACACACCTGATTACTGGAGCCACGCAGGCATGGCTCCACTAATTAGGTGCCTTCTGGACCCTGGAGAGGACGTGGAAGGTGAGGTGGTGGGGGAAATAGGGAGTGGGTGGGGTCAGGTGGGGGTGGGGACTAAGTTTGGGGCATCCCTCCCAGCCCCAGCTGGGCTGTGTGTGGCAGTCAAGGAGAGACACAATTCTGTCCCAGCCCCAGCGGGGCTGTGCGGGCTGGGAGAGACGAGAGTCCCAGGGTGCTGCTGCAGGGAGAGAGAGCTGGGGGGAGTCCTCTCTCCCCACTGTAGCCCTGGGGCAGCCTGTCCCCAAACCCCTCATCCCCAGCCCTACCCCAGAGCCTGCACCCCAAGCCAGAGCCCTCACCCCAACCTTGAGCCCCCTTCCACATTCCGAACCCATCAGCCCCACCGCCGCCACATGAATTTTGTTATGTGCACCAATATGGAGGTGATGTGTGAGGGAAAAATTAGAGGGAACACTGCCCACAGCACTGCACATTAGTCTATCTAGATGCCTCGACAGATCCGCAACCTTCACACCAGGCAGGCAATTTACCCTGTGGTTCTATTGGTTATCAATGTCTCTTCCTGAGTTCCCTCTCCAGGAGGGTATCCTCCATACAGAGGATACCATGACATAATCTGAAAGGAGGATCCCAACTATGAGATCGTTTCCCTCCATTACAGTCTGATGGTCTCCTTCCCCAAGACTTTCATCCGCCTCAACAGCGCAGAGGCTGTCAGACGTGGGTGGACCAATTTATTGTGTCCTGGAAAGTCTCCTCTATGTACCTCTCAGTGCCCCTTAGTTACTCCAGTTCAGCCACTCCGGCCTCAAGAGCCCATACTTGGTTTCTGAGGATCATGAGCTGCTTGCACCAAATGCACATGTTACCTGCCCACAAGGCAGGTAATCATGTATTCAGTGCAATAAACTGGATAGCCTCCACTCTGCTGCTGGACTTCTACCTGCATTATTTTTACTCTTGTAGCTTTTTTTCTGTTTGTTTTGGTGAGGAGCATTTGTTGGTGTAAGTTTAGATAATGTTCGGTGTATCTGGCTCTGTTGCGAGGGAGTTGAGTGCCCTCACTCAACTCCCTCGCAACACTCCCATTTGCTGCTCCTGGTCACTAGCTCCTCTAGTCACGTAAGAGATGGCTTTTGAAATCCATGTTCTCCCTAAGTAACCCCTCCTCCCCAGTTAAGGGCTCCTGAAGGGATGAAGGGCCAAAGCCTCGTTAAGAAGGTGTCAGCCTTGCTTAGCAGGCCACTAGGCTCAGCACATGCCCTCTTCCCACCCCCCACCGCCCCGAACAGGCCACACTATCAACTTGTATTTTTGTTACATTTCTTTCCATACACAGTAGTTTAGCAATTTGTAATGTTTTTCATCATTTGGGGTGGGGGGGCATGGGGGAAACTGGCAGCTTAAAAAATAAAAATCATACTGGGGCCAATTCCACATTGGTCTACAGCTCCTTGTGCCAAAAAAAGGGAAAGCAAAAGGAACTGTTTGCTTTTTGCAAAGAAGGGGGAGACACACTCCCCCACAGTCTGTGACTAGATGAGACTATCAACAGTCAAAGGAGGTCTGCCCTACTCAGGAATCAAGAGGGACCTATAACCCTAAGTAACCATCCAACCCACCGCTAGGGGAAACCCACTCACCATCAAACTCATGAGGCCCAAGATGAACTGTTGCTGTTTGGGGAACCACATAGAAAAGCATATTTGAGGTGACAGGGAGTAAAGGAGAATGCTGGTCAGAAGAAGCAGGGGTGAAGATTGGTGGATTGGGGCAGGGGGGGTGGGGGAACAATATGAAACGGATGCATTTTCTGAGATGTGCCAGGGAAGGTTATGGAATTGGTGGCTTTTGGTCAGGTAGAAAACATTTTACCTAAGGCATGTCATATGTATTCACAAACTAACACAGAACATTTGAAAAGATCCCTAGTGGAATTTTGGCAGCACATCAGCTGGTTATTGGCTATGCTCTGTAAATGGAGTTCAGATGGCATTTACGAAACTTGCCACTCCAAATTGCTCTTAATTGACTTTAAGTGTGGGCCTCAACCTCTTTCCTAACAAACTGATCTCATTCCTAATGCATTTCCTTGCTTTATACAGGATTTGTATGTCAAAATCCACAAATATAGTCCTGTGTAAATAAAAGTTATAGCCAAAGTAATTCACATACTTCATCCAATAATACACAATACCACAGATTGTTTGGGAAACTTCCACACACACACACACACACACACACTCACACTACTTTTTTCTGGAAATAATGAGTTCTAACTTTTAAAAGATGTATCTAGCAAAGGAATATACTGCAAATAGAATAGCATAAAACAATTAGTGGTTTAACTATTATTGAATACTCTGATTTTAAAGAATTGCCAGTCTGAAGAAGTTCCATCTTAAAACAAGATTGCTTAAAGCTTAATAAATTGCTCCTACGTTGCTCATACATATTAAAACAAATCTCTTCTGAGATATGTCTTGACTTGGGAAACAGGTTTAATGAGTCTTTTTGACATTAGGGGCTCTGCCATACAACCATGAAAAATACAGAAAAAAATCAAATCATATCTTGAGTTTAGTAATTTTTGCCTCTTCAACCAAAACAAATTTAAGGGCAGCTAATATAAATAACTGTAAATTTAGTTTTACTGGAAATACTTCATTCATATTGGTGCTGAGCACATTTTTAATCAAGGAAATAA